ATAAAGCATCATGTGGAAAATATTAGTTTGCTGGAAAACTCTTTATGGTTTGAATTAATTTTTAGTTCAGCAGCACTTGTTAAAACTATAAATAGATGGTCTCTTGCTTTTCTCTAGCTTTCTTCTCCTTATACTGTGCTTTAGAAGTCTTCACATTCAGTGATTTTTATTTTATTATATTTAGCTATCACTGCAGGCTCTCTTTCAGAGATCTACTTTGATATCGGGCTGCTTTATCTCCGTTCCTAGTGCGATAAAAGCCAATTTAGAGTCACTTTCTTTATACAAAACAATGGGAAGTACAAGATATTTTGATGATAATAGCATCTTTAAAAAAGGATGACCATCTGCCTTTATTCACTTCTCCTGCTTTCTGTGTCCTTTCGAGCTCTACTTTCCCTATGGAATGATGAAATCACTGAGATAATTTTCAGTCCTGTCAGCTGCAAAGATGTAGTAACCATCTTATAAGACAAGCATATGGCTGGGTCTTAAGGACTTTTTCAAATTGGGGATCCAAATATAGGCTGCCAAGTTGTGTACAGGAGCATCTGCCATTTCGGTTCCCTGTCTTAATGCCTGCTTGCATCACCAGGAAGCCTGAGCTGGTACCTGCTCTTTTCCAGGTTGACATTTCATGGCAAGAGCAGAACACAAAAATGCAGAGCTGCGTATCTGAAGGCTTAACTGTAGACTCCTGAATTTGAAAGCCTTGGGAATACTTTGGGAAAGATGAGACTTGCCCGTCCGGAGGATCATAGCAGAAACCCAGTTGCAAGCTGCAGGGACCTGGATGTTGAGCAGTCTCTCCCGGTGGACCAGGAGGCGATTGAGATATGATTTGAGCCCAGAGGCTGAGCAATGCCATTCCCACAGTCCTTGTTGGGCAGGTTAGGAAGGACCCATTAGTACTTCCTCTGATTTATTTTTACACAGTCCCTGCCAAAACTGTTGCCTAGTAGGCCCAATGGCTCTGTATCTTGCTTTATTTGTGGTCTCTTGGCTTAGATGGCTTAGCTTCTGAGGAGCATTGAGCAGGAATTGCCCTTATACATGGGGACCTAACCGTGCCAGTGACTGCACTGGCTCCACATATCTAACCAGAATGTGTCTCCAGCTTCAGCCACTTGATTCTTCTGCTGTACGGTGATGCTGCCTCCTGCCTTTTGTGACAAATGCCATAATTTGCCTCTACGAGCTGTTAGGAAAGCTTTGGGGCTGGCAGAAACCACAGGGCAGCTCAGGCTGGCCCTGGGAGCACAGGCAAGGGCAGGGCACCGTGAGGAGTGGATTCACTGCCCTGCAGGCTGTCACCTTTCCAGATGCCAAAACTGAGGAAAACAGCATCAGAAAGGGATTTAGCTCCAAGGGACAAATTAGTTTTTGTGGCAAGTAGTGGATTTCATGGCCCTAATCAAGAAGCAGGATTGCACCATATAATTCGCATTATCCTGATTATTTTCCCTTTTCCATGGATACAAATGCATCCAGTGCACCGGAATGGTGATATCCTTAGCAATGCCTGTGAAGCAGATCCCATATTGAGAGTGGCCAAAATGGGGAGCAACTACCTGAGTTGCGTCTGACAGCTCATGTCGGAGATTGACTCCTTCCCTTCGACCATGAAACATTCTGGTAGTGGTGTGGCCTTGCCCATGCCTTCCTCCTACTGATGGCTCTGGAGAAGTTAGGCCTGTGCTTAAGAGAAAATATTGCCAAAGGAATTTGTAGTTAACCATTTACTTCCTTGTCAGCCCCTAATGCAGGAAATACCAGTGTATTTAGATCTCAGTAAGGCATTTTTTTCCCTATGACTGCACAGCCATGACAAACTTTCCCACTAAAATGTTTGTGTAGAGACAATTGTTTTGGTTCCAAAGGTGCATGGCATTTGTGGCTAAAATCACTGTTGATCGCAATTTTTTTATGTAGTGATACTTACTTTTTGCCTGGGTTTTTCCTTTGCTGGGTTTTTTTTGTAGGCTTTGTTTTTTCAAAGCAAGGCCACCAAAATATTTATCAAAACAAAAACTGACCATTTTTATATACTTTTTGTTTTAAAGCAAAACATGGCCCCCACGCCAGGAAGTTAACTTACTTGTTCTAATTATATGGAACTTGCCCTGAAAAGCAGAGAGGGCAGAGCAATACAGAAAGATCTGTGAAGGTGCAGGAAGTTGGATTTATTGCTATTTGTGAAGCCATTTAACACTGTTTAGAGCAATCTTAGCTGGTCAACACCCCATTGGTGAATCTCAAAATATCTGCCATGCTTATTTGGGCCAGCCTTCTGTAACGCTCCTGGTTTCATCTAGGATAGAATTAATTTTCTTCCTAGTAGCTGGTGTAGTGCTGTATTTTGGAGTTAGTATGAGAATAATGTTGGTAACACACTGATGGTTCAGTTGTTGGTGAGCAGTGCTTACACCAGTCAAGGACTTTTTCAGCTTCCCCTGCTCTGCCTGGTGCACAAGAAGGTGGGAGGGGGCACAGCCAGGACAGCTGTCCCCACCTGGCTAAAGGGGTATTTCAGACCATATGACATCATGCTTGGTATAGAAACTGGGGGGAGTTGGCCGGGGAGCAGTGACCGCTGCTTGGGGATGGTCAGCAGGTGGTGTGCACTTGCATTGTGCATCACTTTTTTTCTATATTCCATTATTATTATTACTATTATTGTTATTATTACCACGACTACTACCTCTCTTTTCCTCTGCTGTTCTATTAAATTGTCTTTATCTCAGCCCATGGGTTTTATCTTTTTTTTCCTGATTGTCTCCCCCATCCCACTGGGGAGGAGGGAAGTGAGCCAGTGGCTGGGTGGTGTTCAGCTGCCTGCCAGGTTAAACCACATCAGTAACACATCTTCATTTGTTCTTACCTAGTGTTTGCTCTTACCTCCATTTTAAAACTTTAGTCATTTACTACAGGAGCCAAACCCCTTCTCTCCCCCACCCCATGTCCTGAATGACCAGGTAACACGCAAGGAGGAAAACAATTCCTGAAGTACATCCTTTGCCTAAGCTCATTGTTGAATAGGAACCCCGCTCCTAGCAACTGGAATCTCTCTGGAAACATGCCTTGAATAGACTTAAAGCTGCAGCCATTGTAATCAAGAGACTAACAGATAAGTAAGTAATATTGGCAAGTAACCCTCCCATGTGAACTATTTAAAACTTGAAGATTGCTAAAATGAGACATTTCGTAAACATGAAATGAAAACATTCCCAGTAGCTGGATTAAAAAAATAGACAACAGTCTTGACCCCTGCATCGCACACTGGCTGGAAAAAAATGGGTTTCAAAAATATTGGGTTTAGGTATAAGTGACTAAAGAGTACAGAAAATAATTTTTCAAAAATAGATCTTTACTAGTAGTCTGGGTTAGAGAAATGGATGCTCACTGTGACTCGGGTTTTCCATTGAGAGGAATGAAAAATTCTAGGTGTTCACAGGTTACAAGTTAAAAAATATGGAAAGTGATTTATTTACATTACCAGGATGAAATTGAGTTACAGTGGCTAATAGGGTAAGCGTTGCAAGGTAGACATTAGAAGAGGGATATGAACCCAATTTACTGGGCAAATTAACTTTGTTAGAACACTTGAGCTGGCGCAAAGATAACAACGCCTTTAGGAGACAAACTGCCTGCCTTGCTTGTGTACTCCAGTGTTTCCCTAATGATTAAAGTTCTTTAGGCAAGCTTTTTCACCAGCCTAAGGGAGCCAAAAGACATTGATAAATGCACAAGAGAAATAGAATGAAAACTGGACTTAATGCCCTAAGTCTCCATATCTAAATACTTGCTGAAGCAGTTCTGGTTCTTTTGCTCTCTGGAACAAAAATTGCTAAAAATTGTGCTGCTGCATGACTTGGACGCCACTGATTTGCAAATGGAGCTAAATAGAGTTTTCAGGACTTGAATAACAAGCCCAGAGAATCCCTTAAAAAACAATGTCCTGGAAAGCAGAGTAGCAGATAGAGATTGACCAAATTGAATGGGAGCTGAAGCCTTTCAGCAGCATCCGTCTGAGGCAGTTCAGATACGGACTGAAATGTATTTGGCAGGATCCCTTTCCTTTTCGATAATGAGCTGCACTCCGGTTCACCTTGTGCCCAGGGATTTCACAGTGCTTGATACAAGTATGGTGATGGGTCTTCAGGGCCTGACTGCATCCAGACATGGGGATCTTAACACGCTTGTTAGTCCCGAAAGAATTCTGCTGTTTCCAGAACTGTTCAATGTGTGAAAGGGGGATGGACTTAAGTGACATACCCAAGGTCATGCTGCAAATTAGTAGCGAGATGGGAAGCACCTCACAAACAGTCCCCTCCTGGGGTCGTGGGGCTGATCTGCCTACCTGGAAATAAAAGAAATCCGGACCTCTCTGCAGTAATCAATTTAAGCCAATTTGCATTGAACAATTTGCTATGGGATTAAATTAAAAAAAAAAAAAAGAAAGAAAAACCTTGTAAAGCTAGACTAAACTTGTGTTAACAGCATAGCAGTCGCTCTTTGATGTGATTCTTTAGACAAGCTGAGGCAGAACATGCTGTTTCTGTGCAGTTTAATACAAATAAGGCTGTGAAACATCTTCTGATGCAAAAATCCAAGACTCTCCTCAACATCTAACACCGAACCTTAATATCACCAGACCTGAATGCATGCAGATGAGTTGTATTCGTTAATTCTAACAGCATCTGTGCCCATTTACACCAGCTAAATATCTAGCCTAACATTCAATATAAGCAATTTTCTTGTTCCTTCCCAATTAGCTCCATTACAGAAAATCTAATTAAATCATATCTTTTAGCAGGAACCAAGAATTCAAGAGCTACATTTTTTCACTTAATTAAAAGCTTTTCATCTTGAACTGTTAATTTTCTGAAAAAGATATCTAGTAGTTCTTCCTCTGATCCGCTTTGGTTACTGAATGAAATGGCTCATTTACTCTGTTAGCTCTTGAACTGTACACTTAGGCTCCAAGCCTTGTGAAGAGCTTAGAAGATGATAGGAATCATAGCTGCTTTTCTCCGCACCTCTGGATAAAATCTCTTCAGGTACAGCTTGTGTTTCTTTTGGGCCCAGAGAGACATCTGGATGACCATCAGGAAAGCAAAAATGCCAACTACCAAGGAAAAAGAGAGAAAAGAAAAAAAAAGGATCATGTGGCTTCTTTCAGTGTCTGTTTCTGTGAAGACAAGAGGGCTTATGGAAAAGTCTGCAGTCTCCTCTGTGGGCAGAGACAAGTCAACCCTGCCCTTGCTCTCAGCCTTGCAGTTGCTGATATGCCATAGCCTGAGGCTCAGCCTGCATATCAGGACTCACACAGATGATGCTCACATCTATTAGGCACACCCTCTATCACCTATGACCTCGCCATAAATCACAAAGCGACCTTGGGCATGGTGGCGTCTCAACACAGAATTACCCCTGGCCTCTTGTCGACTAGTTTTCTAGTTTGCTTTTGGCCTAGGTTTCTTTGGTTTTACCTCTGGCTCCCAACGACAACACGGAGCTGTGCTGTAACCTCCTGTTGCGTGGAGGGAGAGCTCGGGCCTGGAGCAAGCAGGCAGTAGGTGCAGGAACAGATTTAGCTGCCTGGCAGCAAGGTCTCACAAAGCCTAACAACTGCAGATGCCCAGGCCCCCGCTGTGGCTGTCAGGATCCAGTAGGTGGTCTCTAGTGTACCCCTCCCTTCAGGCTGAGTGGCACCGAATGGGGAATGCTTTCACAAGTGTTTTTTGCAAGTTCACTGTCCTTTCTTCCTTAAAATGAGCTGGTGGATCAGAAACATTCGTTGGGTGTCTGGGCGGGTTGTGTTTGGGACAGTTAGAGCAAGGATGAGCATGCTGCATGTGTTGCTGCTCCCTGCCCTCATAAACACAGCCCCACAACGTCCCCAAACTTTCAGGTCGTTTCCATACTGGAGCCTAAAGCACAAAAATGGTGTATCTTTTCAAACAAAATTAAAAGTTTAATTTTTGGATGATGCAGTTTAATCCACTTTTGAAATTCCTTTCTTTTTCATTTGCAAACCATGTGGGGCTAATTTTTGCAAGTAGCTTTTATAGGTTTCTATTTTGGAATGGAAAAATAATTGAAAAGTGAATGTTTTCGACAGCCCAGTCCCAGCGACCATATTTGTATGGGTATTTAGGTCTCAAAGATGCAGGGAAGTACTGAGCAAGAGTTGCAAACACTACTAAGCAGGCTACTGTTACAAGCTGGCTGCCTGATATAAGCAAATGGGGAAATGCTTCCAGGAACATGTGTGTCTTTTCCTCTTTTGAAATACTGAGTATGTCTGTTTTCCTCTCCCTATTAGAAGTACCAGGTTTGCAATGCAAAGAAGTTTTCCTACATCAAAAATGATTGACTGTAAATGAAGAATACTGACTTCTTTTTTATTCTAAATTTCGACTTCTGTTTTCACTGTGGAAACAGAACAAAGAACAGTATTTCACAAAAAGCAAAGAGCTGGATTTGATCAAAAGAAGGTGTTGCAGTAGTGTTTGTGCTCTCCAGAGCTTTCTGGGGGTGGCACATTGAAGTTATATACAGTCATGTCATGGGGGGGGGTTTATGGCAATATTTCATAGGCCATACATTTTTTGGAAAATTTTATATTTCCAGAATGCGCTTCTGCAAACAACAATTTAGAGGCTTTCTTCATTCTGTTTCAAACTTACCTGGTAGGGTTTGTGTCATCACTGTGAAACTAATCCAAGACCCAACCTGTTGCAAAGAAAAAAGGCACTGTTAATTGTATACTTTACATAAAGCAAAAGGGCAAGTTTTCAAAAGTGACCACTTCCCCAGAAGCTCTCCCTGGAAGAAGAGTGTGATACTCATAATGGAAATTAGGGAGGAAAAATAGCTAAAAAGGGACACCCCCCCCCAGTGTGCTGGATGGGGGTGAAGAGACAGGTGGTAAATCCTTGGGTTGCTGTGGAGTCTGTAGTGGAGGGCAATATACATACAAGTCATGATATTGTTGTGAGGGAAGAGAAGGGTCTGGTGGAGAAATATTTGTGGGAGCAAGGAGACTGACATACAGAACATAATGATTGATGTGTAGGGGGAACAGCGTGGAGGCATTGCAGATTTTCTGCAGGCAAAGGCTGAAACACAGTAACCACCCACCCTTTGCGTATAAGCAGAAGAAAGTCATGTACCTCATATGTATAGTTGGGACAGGATACCAGCAAGAAGAGCCATGTGAAGGGGTTGTAGGTTGGACTTGGAAAACAGGCTTTACTACCTTTATGAAACGAAAAAAAAGAAAAGAAGAGGAAAAAAAAAAAGAAGGAAAAAGAAAAAAAGAAGGAAAATAAAAACCCAAAGAGACAAAACCAGTTTCAATACAGGGGAGGGATCTGAGCCTTATCACATCTTGCCTATGTAACAGCCATCCCCTTGGCCAACACTCCCAGTGCACAACTTGTTAAAAAAGTTTTGGTGAAATCTTTTGAGACAGCAAAAGCTGCATTTATCCTAGTGAGAATGCTGCTTAGCAAGCCATGGACCAGTTTTTACTGGAAAGGTCTGGCATGTCCAAAGGGTGCAACCTTTGTTCAGAGGAAGAGAGAGACAAGTAGTTTAATGCGGGCTAGCTGGCAGGCGAGGGCTAAGGGCACTCTTCTGGGATATAAAGGATGCAGCTGGATCTTACTCAGCCTGACTCAGGAACATGAACCTGTCCCCTCTCGCATCCTCATCCCAGGGTAGCACAGGAAAACAACTCCAGCGCTAACAGCGTGGCTCTCTACAGCCACTGATAAAGCTCACACAAAATGCCGCATATGCAACGCTTCATTTTTAACACTTCGTCCTGGCAAGAGTGCTGTCTTTAACACTTGTCAGCACTGAGAACGCCGATGAATTATTTGGCTCTCGCTGATTTTAAAACAAATTAGGCCCCTTTGCAACAAAGGGCATAAGCCCCTGCCTGACCACAGCACATCAAAAGTTTTCCAGAATAGAAACTGACTTCAGCGTGAGAAGTTGATCATACTGTGGGGAAGTATTTTCTTGAATAGGGTGTTACAGTGCAAAATTATACTATTATTATCTAAAAATACATTTTACTTTCTACTATATATAGTAGAACTTTTATTCTCATGGTACAAAAGACCCTGGAAACCCATGCTTGGAGCAGCCTTTTAAGAGCATACGTATGCATTGATGCCTGTGTAGGTATTCATGAGCCTATCTTCATCTAGTCGTGTATGTGTGTGTCCGTGTCTCTGCATGAGATGCATGTACCTAAAAACTCTGCAGTCCAGTTTAAAAGTTTTTGAAACTTCTTCAAAGTGGAGTACTCTGTTGTCAGTCAACAAGATGCTTTAGAGAACTTCCATGCTTAAATCCATATTTAAATTGCAGTTGTGTATAATTAAGATTAATTTGCTATAATCTGGAACAACACAAGTCTTGCTAATGTTTCCTTGTCACCACATTTATTTTGAAGGCATTATACCGATGGCATGGTACATACTTCATCTTTCTTTATTCTGTGGATGTAGATACATAAATTACTATATACCAAGAGAAGATGGATAGGTTAAGTACACTTCAGTCTTAAATAGAGAAACAGGAAACAAAGACAGACCTGAATGATTTTGGTGAGCTAAAGCTACGTTGATAAAGTGATTTCCAGCTTCACACATCTGCAAGACATTAAAAACATATTTTCAGCTGTATGCCTAAAAATGCTGTGGTGACTGCGTTGCAGCATGTAACCAGAATCCCCGTTACAACTTAGCCTCTGTATCCAGAAAATACGTACTCTGAAATCACTCTCCCATGGGAAGTACATTCTGTCATCTCTGTCAAACACACAAGTGTCCCCTGAGCACCACAGGTGCCAGCTGGGGTGAAAGCCGAGCTCAGTGCAGGCAGGCCTTTGGTGGGTTCCTGTGCCCAGCATCTGCAACATGCTTTGGTCTGGGGAGATCAGGGAGGCTCCCTGTGGTCTAAGGAATTTAGCAAGATACTTTTCTGAACTTTTCTGGTCATTGTCGGGATTTGGATTTAAACTCGCTTGCAAAGAAGCAGGGGAAAAGTTGACTACTGGTTTTGTAAAAGTGTCATGAGTTAAAGTGCCTGCCCTCTTCCTACGCACCCTTTCAAAGGCGTTTAGTGCAACACCTTTGTTCTGCCGGTTACAGAGGACAGCAACCAGTCCTCTAGGTAAGTTGCAGAGGAAGGAAAAATAGGGTGAATAAACAGGCAGTGGTTCTCTGAAGGGCAGACTGGCTGAATGGATAGGAGTCGGGAACTGATAAATGAAGGGAGCCAGTATTATTCCTGGTTCTGCTACTCTCTGGTTACGTCATTTCCAGACCTAGCCAGCCTCTCAAACTTGGTCTTTAATATTTAGATGGTTTCAATCTTTGGAAGAGGTACCATGCCTGCCCACTTGGGTTATACAGCATGTAGTACAAGGTGATTTCAGTTTTGCTTGTGGCTTTCAAGACATCACCAAATTATGGCTACTGTAGAATCAAAACCAATTACTACCCATATTTCAAGTGGGAACTGGTAGGAAAACCACTTTCAGTTCCTGAAACAGAAAGCCTGTTGGTACAGCAACCTAATTGTATGTTTTTCATTTTTCCCCTGCTGTATTAAGAAAACCAAAATGCTTTTCACATTACAATCTCAGGCTGAATTGAACTTCTTTATTCATTTCTGGGTTTGAAGACATATCTGTCCTCTCAAATTGAAAAAATGCAGTGTTAAAAAGTTGTTTTCTTATATCATTTGCCATTCTAAATTTTGCAAGGCTGGAAAAAATTAAGAAATTAAAATAAAAAGGAACAGTGCTAAAACCTAGAGAAGTTAAAAGTGTAAAGTCACAAAATTAATACAGAAAAAAAAGAAACACTTGTAATTCTTTAAAGCCAATTCTGAAAGCCATCCATTAAAAACTTCAATTAAAACTAATTGAAAGGAATATGTAACTTCATTTTATATTGAAATGTACCATTATCTGGAAGAACATTGTAAATACCATTGCTGAAGAATTTTCCCCTTTTTGGCAGAGAGATTTATGCAGGTTTTGTTAGGAAAGTTTAAATCCGTTCTATTAGCAAAGCTGTTATTCTGCACGGATATGTAGTCATGGGTCAAATCCTGCAGTCCTTTTATGTTTTTTAATTACAACTAACTGGCTGTCACCTATCATAAACACCAGATGTAAACCACTAAATAGCCAGAAAAGGAAATTCTATTATAAAATATTGTATCAGAAGCTATAATTCTAGCCATAGCAATAGAAGTAATTTTAATTTACGTACATCCAATTATGAGCTAGGAACTTGATTGTTTCTGATTACTATTATTTTAAAGAAAAAAGTTTTCAAGTTAAAAGTGTTTTTGTGAAACACTATACATACTGAAATGTGCAATGCCCATTCTATTGTGGAGCAAGAGCGATTCACACACTATAGTTAACACCTACTAATCCTGTAATCAATTCTAAGTAAAGCAAGCAAAGGGCATTTCTGCAGGGATTTTTATTGGCTTACCTTTGACTCTGCAGCTGCATTCTTCTGTAATTAGCTCTTATGTCCCTCTTTAGAAATGTGGCTGCTAATGCTCTATATTGAGAAGTACTGCTAAGTGTAAGCTAGTCCTTAGTCAGTGTCTCAAATATAAAATATGGGGTGGTGGGGAACAGCAAAAAAAAAGGCTTACCATATTTATGATGATAAAATATTGAAATCTGCATCCTGTTCCGCCTCTTTATGTTCCATGTGTACCCTATGAGAAAAATGTCCCTGCAAAGCTTCGAATAATTTCTGTAAATACGAGAATCTTTCAGGAGGGCCTGCTGACACTCTTCAAATTACTCAGTACTGTTGTTTACAGCAGCTGCATACACTTAAATCAGGATATGTAATAAAGACAAGTCTTAAAAGAGGAGAGAAAAAGAAATCTTCCAAATATTTTATTCATAGGTTTTAGAAACCTGTGAAAACAGCTTCAAATTACTTTATTTTGTATGTTGCTGTTTTAAATTCTTTGGGAACCTCCCAGAACAAGGGCTGAAAGGGAAAGGTTTTGAGTTTCCATGGGTAGGAATTTCTCTAAAGAGCTGCAGGAATTCAGACCACAGACCAGGTGCTGGTGCAGATCTGAAGGGGATGGACATATTTTATAGCAAATACCCCCAACAGGACTCATCTCTTTTGCTTAATGCCAGCATTTTCCATAAAAGCTATAGCAGGGCATGTTACATTGAGGAAAGATGTTTCCTTAGAAAGGGAGGCTTTTTCTATGCAGAGATTTTCACAAGCACTAGTCTTACTAGTGGCACTGAATATTCAGGCAAGCAGTTTGCTTGGTTTCAAGTAACCCCTGAGGCTGGGAAGGGTGCAGATGGTAAAGCTCTGGGCACACCACTGCTGCCACAACCTCTCTCTCTGCAGTGCAGGATTATTGCTTTTGGCTGTAGAGCCTGATTGAGTCCATGAACTTCTTCATATGAGTATTTTGCTTGTCTTTGCTAAACCTTGTTAGGACAAGAAAAGCTGAGAACTGCATGGCTAACCCTCAGAGGCAAACACTGCAAAAACTGTGATCTTTAAGGGTCCCAATTTATGAAAGCATTTAATTATTGCTAAGGAGTTGTTTGAAAGCTTTTCTGAATAGTGTTTGTCTAAAGGAGCCTACGCACGCTACTGTCCTGTCTTCCTGTTCTATTTCTGGAAACTGATCTATATCTGATTTTCAGAGAGGCTGACTGTTTTGGCTACTGACCCATGCTTGCTTGGGCAAGTCAACCCCTATCATTTCCAAGTGCAATGCCCACTGAGGACAGAAGAGACTATACATTTCCATGTGAGGATTTCTTTTGAGCCCCTACCTTGTTCATTCAAACGTCAGGTTCAGTAGTCTCAGCCATCCTTCATCACCTGCTTAACCCATCCCTTGGATTAACCCACTTCGGCAGGGATTGTTTTCAGTAGCTGTGGAGGTTAAGTTATTCAGGCTACACAGTCCTATTGCAAAGTCTGCTTCTTCAGTGTTTTAAATTTAAATTCTTCTGTGCTTTAAAAATGGCAAGTTTCAATCTGTCTAAATATTAGTGGTTTTACACAATCATGAGTAGTAATAATGCTGATGATGTTCTCCTAGCTCCCAGATACAGTACTTCACACCAGGCTCTGTATAGGCAAATAGTACTGGGAGACTTCCTGGCCTAGAAACCTTAATAGATTATCACTAAATCCAGTCAGAGGACACAGGGCTGTAGGTATGAACGTATATATATGCACAAATGCATAGCAGCATTACTGCATCTTGCTAAATCATTAGTTACTCCTATTCCACTATCATTAATAAAACTTTATTTTTGTACATACCAGAAAAGCAAGGGCAGCAAAAGAAACTTGTCTGTGGCCAAATGCTAGAAAATAGAATGAAATTATAAATGGCATTTTACGGTACGCACATGATTTGCTATGGATTAAATTAATCTAGTGCTGAGGAGCAGAAATGCTTCTTTCCTGACAGGCTCTGCAGAAAGAATGGATATTATCGCACACAATATGAAGACAATGCAAATAGTAACAGAGGTCTAGAAATGCCAGCCTCTTCACCACTGATCTCAAGGCAGTTTTCACCAAACTTTTTCTAGTATTTTTCAGCTTCTATACATCCAAGTGCTTTGTCAAAGCAGCTGGTGGTGTTAAGGCAAGGGGAGGGATGAAATGAAGGTCATTGGCAGAACCAGGTTGGGAATCACAGCTTTATCCATAGGCCCTTCTATCACCATGGGCAGAGAACCCAAGACATAACATAACCTATCTATTAGTTTTTTTTTTTTTTTTTTTTTTTTTTTTTTTTTTTTTTTCCCAGTAGTGAGTCTTTACTATATAGCCACTATTTGCTTCATGGTCTCATCATGCAAGAAATAAAGCCTTTGCAATTTTTACCTGCCCCTTGCCTGCCCTCTCCTTTTTTGCTGTTGTCCCCAGACCACTGTAGTGCTGTATCATGTTCATCTCCAAAAGTTTACAGTTCTCAAGTAAACCTTGGTCATGGCTGAGGGACACAAACCACATATATGTACCTCAATTCCCTGACCAAGCCGCATCAAGCCTTTACTTTTGAGAACCCTTTTTCTCTGTCTGGTACATGACTCCTCTGTGGTGCCAAGGGCATGCGCTAAAACTCCTCCTCAGAACAACCAGCACATGTCAACACATAAGTATGTAGCTGCTACTCAGGTGTTCTTCATGGGCCCTTTGTCAGCCTGCTTTAATTTACCGCTCCTGCATAGCATTCTGCAGCTACCTGCCTGCCCTTCTTTGCCTGTCCTCAAACCAGCCATCTCTGGATATGGCTGTGGAGGTCACCAGCTCCTGCATCCAAAATAAACCATCAGGATTTTACTGATCCAGCTAACTATGCCAGAGGGCTGGTGATTTCCAGCATTAGACACATGTACCTATAATTGTCATTTTAAGGCAGTGGCAAGCAATTAGAAGTACCTCTTCTGAATGCTTTCTCTGTTGGAAAGCTGTGTCTTGAACGGATGGTTTTCTCTATGAAGAAGCTGCACCTACTGCTTGGTCCAGGCTGCTAAAAACTGTGTCTAGGGAGGTTTCAACTTTGTTTGCAGTATTACTGTTAAAGCCACACCAAATCCAACTGTCTTTCAGTGAATCACATCATTTTGAAACAGAACTTTTGTGTTATTTTGGAAGGAAAGCAAGTGCCATGTAGGAGAAATTTCTGATTGAAAAAAAAATTAGTAACTTAACTGAGTGTAAATAAAAGTGGCAAAGCAAACCCTTTGTTCCCAAAGCTCATAGATAAGCATAAAGATGCAGAGGAAAGGAAAGACTAAGGTGTAATAAGGAAAGTAAAGCAGCAGGAAACAAAACTTACGACAGTTATGCTCAAAAGAAGCAAAACTAAAAAATAATGACGAAACAGCAGTGCAACAATAAAATATAATGAGAGGGAACAAAATGATGAATGAAACCTGCGAGAAAAAAAAAACATAGGATTTTTTTTGTTTTTATCAGCAGTATCTGGTTGACTTTTACTGGTTTCTCACCAAAAACAAAATAAAATCTTAATTCTCATGAAAAGGATGTATCTTTAGCAAATAAACATCCCCTGCAAGAAAATGCAGCCAGCTCTAGTTCTCTCCTGCATTCTTAATACAAATACTGGGAAGATGAGCAAAACGTATCGATCTTTCTGTTTTCTCCACTTGGCCAATAATTCTAGTTCATAAAACTGGACAGTGATTGACCATTGCTGAACAGGAATGTACATTCAGCTACACAGCAGGGGTGCCTCCCGCACAACAGTCTTCCTCCTGACAGGGAGTAAAGGCTGATCTCTGGCTAGATTAGTCATATGATCTCAGGTGGGGGCCACCTATTGATTTTCGAGGACTTAGGGTTGCATACCAAAAGCTTTTTAAAACCAAGGTCAGTGTTGTGCTCTCCTTATACCTACATGGTGGCGTATAGCGTGGATGGTTGATGTAGTATGCAATCCAGGAAGTGAATCCCCAGTAAAAGGCACAGCCCTGGAAAGGACAAAAGATAGTTTTTTTGTTAGGAAGGGCAATAAGCAAGTACAAACCGTAACTTTGTAAATATAAATTCTGGTAAGTGCAAAACCCAGATGACCATTGCAATGCTTTGCAAGGGCTTCTTGAGTCACAGAATATATATCTTTTTAAGATGCTATGAAGCCACTAAAAAAAAATAAAAGGACGCACGGTGTAGATTTTTTTGATTGTGTTGAATGTGTTTTATGCCTGTTGTAGAAATTGACATTTGTTTTCTCCTTATTTGATTCTACTGCTGAAGGGCACATTTCACTGAGTTGTACTCTTAAAAGTCTTGCGCTGGTTAAGACAGCTGAGCTGTTACTATACCTTAAACTCAGCATTTCCAAGCAAGATAGAGCTAGCCAAACAGAATGCTAAACCAGCCAAGACAATAAAAAGTAAAACTGAATAGGCCTGGTTTAACCCTGGCAAAAAAAAGGGCACACTGTTCTATAAATATATTTGATCTACACACTACATCTACTCCCATGGATTCAGCCCCACTTCATCCTCTCATTAAAAAGCAGCACCCCACCTGCCTTTGCTTGGTGACTGATGCCATGGGCTTGGCAAAGTCCAAGCAGAGATGATGTGATCGTGTTCTTGCCTCATGTAAGGGTCACTGCTCCCATCCTTTGTACAAGGAAAAACCAAATCCCACCAGCCAAACAACTGAAACCACCCTGGAGACTGGGTGAAGTTAAGGGTCCCATGCTGAGTACCTTCTCAGGAAGACCCGTGTGCTGGGACTGGATACAGCTCCATCTCATAAGTAGGGCTGCAAGTCAGGCTTTCTCTTTTTAACCTTTTTATGCAATGCCACTGTGGTATGTGTACCACAGACATGAGGGGACAACAGCATCTGTGGGTCTTCAACTCCCACATGCATGGATCACTTTGGAAATGGCACTCTGGTTCCAAAGTTGTTTAGCTTGCATTCCTCTTTAAGCACTGTGTATTGTAAAACAGCATCTCTAGCTGTACATCTCGTTACCTCCTTTCCAACTGGAATAGAGTCAAGCCCCTATCATGGCCATACACTTTTCTCCTTCACTAAAATCTTAAATGTATTGCAAAACTTTTATGGGGAGGGTCTTTCCATCACACCGAACGGGATGGGAGGCAGGGTGATACAAAACGACTGAGATTGAGTATGTGAAATAAAAGGAGACCCTATGAGCAATGACTCACAGTCGTAATTCAGGAGGCTTTGGGAGACAGAAGACTTGAGGCCAGCTCAGTATCTTCCTTCCTGAGGCCTCCACCACATAGAAGGAGAATATGCGTTTTTTTCTACTTGTAATTTGATTTTAGCTTCCTAACGTAAAGGCCTGTCTCTTGCTCTCTATTTATATTGCAGTGAGGAAGTGGAATGTGATTTCTGTCAGCATTGCTAGATATTGCAGCAGCATACCTCATAATAAAATAGCATTCAGTCTCAAAAATATCCTGGACATGACAATCAGCCCCTTGGGTAGATGAGTCAAGGTGGACATTGACACGCAGGAGCTAAAATGGACATTGATTTCAGTTCATATCCTCGGGGCAATGGCCCTGAAATTCTTCCTATATTTTCATTTTGACTAATCATAATTCCTGGAGATAGAAAATAAATTATTTTTTTATTTTCCTATCTTCTTCCAAGGACTGTTTTGATATGAGGATATTCTCTCTTATACAATATGATAAACATATTGTCACCTTTATCATATTTTTCAGAGGAGTGTGCCCTCCCGAAAACTTGTGAACAAATAGCGTCTCCAGTAGATGTCTGATGTAGTGTAAACAATGGCAGAAGCAGGCCAAGCTGGAAGAAAAAAAAAAAAGGAAATTAAGGTAAGTGAAAGATTGCTTTTTATTACTTCACAGTTTAATGTCACAAAAGGAATAAGGACTAATATTCCAAAACTGCAGAGTCACACTGAAACCGTGGGATTTAAGATATTGTCTTAATTGAAGCATCTGGAACCAAAGATTAATGGAATCATTTTCAGTGTTATACAAAGTTGCTTTCATTTTGCAAGGAAGCAAGTTATTTTTACTAGCCTTGAATTAAAAAGAGCTCCTCGAGCTCTGAATGTGATACATAGCCCTGACAAGGTATTTAAACAGGACAGCTGTGTATACAAGCAGGCGTCTGCTGTGCTTTTCCAAAAGACGTCTCCCACGTTTTAAGGCCACCTTAATGCTCCGGTAGGATGTGTCTGACATTTAAAAACATTCTGAATATCTTCTGAATGGTATCCTTGTCCTTTGCAAACTCAAGGAGCTGCATGGAGGTAGTTTGTATTTCATTTCCTTGTGGACGCAAAATGAGATTTTGTTGCAAAGTTAATCCATTCTGATGGCTTTTTTGTTGCCCGTTACAAAGAAACGAGGTAATTGTTGTAGAAATTATTATACTGATTCTCTTTTGAGGAAGATTGTGAAACAATAACAGGCATTGCTGATTTGCTTCCGAGAATGAGTTGCAGCTCACAGAGATTGAGTCTCAGAAACAAATGTCAAGAGTGATTCCTGGTGGCATTTTATCTTGGTTACATTTACCATACTACCAGAGTCCATCTCACTGCAAACCAATTATAAGACATAAATGAAAAGTGGTTTTCAGCATGTGAAATCTCAAATACTTTTATTATGCATCTTGTACGGTAGCCAGAGTCAATGGTTAAAGAGTTTCAAAGTAATTAAACCAGAGAGAGTTGAGCTAAGAAATTTTCATACCATTAACGACTTATCCAAAGTCTGGAGCAAACTTCCAGTTTTGCTGGGAATTTTAAAATTAATTTGGCTTAGGATGGGGACCTCAGATGAACCCGCTAAGGAGTGGTCACTGGAAAGATACTGCATATCCCTTGCCTGCTTAAAAGAAGGTGAAGATCTTGCTGGCTCTTCTGTGCTATGAGAAACTCTCTCCTTTGAAGTGTGTGAGCAAGAGAAGGCAGGCAAGCGTCGTGCAGCTCTGGATTTGAATTCAGCATTCTGTGTTCTCATTCCCAGCTTCACTAACTCCCTTAATGTCTCTCCAAGTCTCTGTTCCTCCATCTGTAAATGGTATTATTACTCACTGTGTTTCTCTGCTGTATACCAGCTCCCTTGATTCTGCAAACATAGTGTGGAAAAAGTGCTGTGGGAAAGCTGTACAATTCCTTGAGGCTCTAAGTTCCCTGTGTGCCCTCCCACTTCCAGTGCTTCAACTTATACAGCTGACAGGCTTTCCTTGATCACGTTCCACCCCTCTGCGCTAATCCCCCAGAAAGGGGACAGTCACACCGAAGAGAAGTAAGTTCCTTAAGTGTGAAAGTTGCCAGCCTGCCTGGTGCATTAACCACCATCCTGTGGAGGGGTACAGCTGGTGGTGGCAGTGCCTTGAGCCTCCCTGGCAGTTATCGTGTGTAGCCGCTTGCCACTTTCTTGTCTGTAACAGTTCTTAATCCCTCCCATTGATCAGGTTTGCTTTGCTTCTTCCAGAGTCCTTCAAAAAGCTTGGGAATGGCAGGGGCTATCGAAGGTCGTAAAAAGCTACCTTGGTTGGCTGTCCTCTTTTCATTGCTTTTTGGCACGGTCTTGAGTTCTAGCAGTCTAAGCAGGTTGTATTTCCTTGTGGTCAGCTCCTACAGTACTATAGTGGAGCTGTTTAATTTTCCTTGTTAGCATTACTGTTCCAATGATGGAGAGAAGCAAACTATCTGGTTTATGCTTATGTATGAGCTCTTCTGATTTGTTTCTGTACAGCTAGGTACAACCTCTGTTCTTCTCTGTTCTGTAACAGTGTCTGAGCTCTTAATTTTTTTGTCACTTAAGTGTTTTATTTCTTAAAAGTCTTTCAGAACTCAAATATGTTGTGTATGGCCCTGGGGAACAACTACAGTTTGAAGAAGTAGATTTCAAAAATCAGATTACCAGTTCTGAATTCCTATGGTGCTTCTTTTGAGTTTCTCAGTTGTTCTTGACCTGGCTCATAACATGCAGACCTCTCAAAATTCCTCCTTGTTGTGCATAGGTGAGAGCTGGCGTGGGGGTATCAGCATCTTCTGTGCTGGATGCTGATGCTACTCATCTTATGGGTGGGAATGCACTGTAAAGAGAGTGGGAGTGGGGCACCTGAAGTCTTGTCCTCTCTTCTCTGTCAAGCATGACCTTGGGTTACTACCCGCTGTGCTTATTATTTCACTGTCTGTTCAGGCTGCATGTCTAGAGTGCAGACTATTTGGGGAAAATACTGTGTCTCCCATCATGCCCAGGTGTGGTGACCATTGTGACTGGGATCCCTGTTTTGGTCAAGCTTATGAGTGCTGCTAAAATGCCAAACCACTGTTGATAAGAACAATCTGAAGCTCCCACTGACTCTGAGACCAGGCACGCAGCCTCACACCCCCTGTAACCTCCTCAGCCCTGGAAATGCAGTCTCCATCCCTCTGGCTCCCTGCCCCCCAGGAAAACAATTTGCGCAAGTGCCACTTACTGAACCACTGGGTGGCGGAAGTTCTTCATACTTTCCACTTGATCATAAATAGTTGAGAGACGAATGTAAAAGAGCAGATATATTAGAAGAGGCCCAGTGTATTCTGTTAGAAAAAACTAGAAATGAAAAAGAAAATAGCTGTATCAAAATAGGAAATTGTACTAATAAAGGCATGAGAAAAAGAATACCCCTATCCACAACACCTATTCATCCTTCAGATGTCACTTTGGCTTCATTTTAAGGACTTAAATGACATGTAGGGGTTTTTTCTGCTGTCTCTTTAGCAGAGGAGTAAAATCCATCTAGGAAATGAGAGAGAGGTTTCTGTGCAGAAAATTAACCCAGCCAGGAAGGCTCCATGGAAGGTGGTCAAAATCATAGTCATCTCCTCTTTATACTTTTGGCTGTGCCATCAGATACCTATTTGGAATCTAAGCAACACTGAAAATCAAGGCCCAAAAGCTGAAGGCAGCTTGCTTTTCTGCCAGTGTTTTTCACAATTAAGTGATACACCAGTTAGATGCCAACCAAGCATGACAGAAACAAACATAGCTTTGAATCCTGGTTGCCAGCAGAGTCATCTGGAAGGGAGGGATCACCACTTGAAATTTGGTGGTGGGTGGAAGAGCAGGACCTGCCTGCCTGGTGCATGGCTCTTAGAGCCTTCCTTCAGTGGCCGAGTGGGACTCCTCCCTCTGCAGGCATCAGCAGAAGCAGCCTGCGGTGGCAGACTGGACAAGTAAGTTAGCCTTGGAAAGAAATGGAAAATGGAAAGAAATAATTCCTCTCCCCACTGTCACCCCTGCTAGCCATAGCGAGCCCACAGGAGATACGGGGGCAGGGAGAGAGGGCAGAGTTATAGAGTTGCCACCCTCAGTTTTACGTTCCGGCTTTGGTTTGATACGGCCTATATTGCCTTTTGTCAGGGCGTGCTCTTAAGCTGCAAACAGCTGGAGGAAGTAAAACGTGGTTAGAGTGATATGAAGTCTAGATTTGATCATGTGTCCCCACCGGAATGAATCTTGGAATAAAATGGAAATGGTGTAGTCCTACATGTTTACAAAGACCAGCAACTGGCAAATCATAACTCCAGTGCACAGTATTGCTTAAGGAATAAAGATTCATAACTAATGGGCTGTTTGGCTTTAAGGTGGCCATTTGCACTGCTATAGAATGGTAATGGATAAATACCTGTGGCTTAAGGAAGCACCACTGAATTTAGACTACCTTTCTCAAAAGCAGTATTTGGCAGGAGGTCCAACCCCCCGTGGGCTGTTCTGCTCATTGCTCTTCAGAAGAGCTTTGGAACAGAAAGGTTTTCCTGCAGAAATATTCTGCAATTAGGTTTCCTTCATTTGTGACCCCCAGTACCATTTCTTTTTCTCTATTAGAGGGGCAAACTTTTTGAAATTTCAGCCTTGCATAGTAGGACTGTCTCCAAAAGTAACAGACTTAAGTGTTCTCTACCAGGGAAATGTCAAATCCTCTTTTTTTCCACATGACACCATGGTTGCTCCATTTAGACTCTGCATGATCTCAAGAGCAGTTGTGTGTGTGTGTGTGTGTGTGTGCATGAAAACATTTAATCCAGGAGTGTCTAAGAGCCCACATTGTTGTGGAACACACCACAGCCAAGGGCTTACCAGAGTTTTGTCCTAATAGCAGTGGAATGGGTGTATTCCTAACTGTGAGCCCACTGTGTTAGGCACTCTGCAAACACTGTTAGAGATGGCCTCCGCTATTAAAACCTAATACCCTAAATATAGACAGTGGTGGTATAGGAGACAGAGGTGCAGATAATGTGGTCTGGGCAGGTCAGTGTAAGATAACTTGGAATGAGCTGCTTTCTCCAGCGTAGCTTTTCCTCTCAGCCATGAGTTGCACCACAAAATACGCCCGTAGCTGCCAGCTTTTATCATCCATTTGGCATGAGCATATTACAAAGCTGCCAGGAAAATTTTGGCAGGACTTAGGACCAAGTTGTGGTTACTTGTCACTGCACCAAGCATTCCCCCCTTACCCTGGCTGATTTCAGGTGCTAAAAGGAGAAGGAAAGCTCCAGGATTTAGTAAAAAAATCCATTGTCTATTTAACAGCCAAAGCTACCAGCCACATGATCTCTGAATCCCTGTGACTGGGTGAGGAGGTGTTTTTAATGTAGGAGGGGGGATGCAGAGCTTCCCATCAGAGCCATTCAGACAACCAGCCCAGAGCACCACCAGCAGCTCTGGAGCTGGGGTTTGTGGAGGCATCAGCACGCTTGGGGTGCTTTACAGGCCGGGGACAGGGTCCCATCTTATCTGTGTGTCAGTCACATCCAACAGAAAGTGCTAATCATCCATGGGGAGGCAGGCAGTCTGGGGTGAGCTGTGAGATTTGCAATCAATGTAGGTATTGTCTGGCAGGCAGGACTGTATTTGCCTTTGTCACAACTGCATCGTGCTGCTGGAACATAGTTAAGATCAGCAGCATTCTGGTTTAGAGGATGAGGTTCAATTTGCTGTGTTTGGGTTGTTTGGGTTTTTTTACATTTTGGGTGAGTTTCAGTCTGTTTCCCTCTGTTGCATCTCCCATGCTACAACCTCTGCTCTCCTTCTCTGGCCCACTGATTTTAAATTCATCAGAAATGAAAAGTGAGTTTCAGAAAGGCAGGCAGAGAAACTCTGCTCAGAATCCCACGAGTTCAAGCAGGTGGAAGGGAAAGTAGTCTTAACACAGAATCACAATTAGTTCTAACCATTGGCAATCAAAGGCAAGCACCATTCTTCTACTATCGATTCTCAATGAATAGATGCAATTAAGCCTACCTACTACCTTCATGCTCATCTTACAGTTGACTAATTGCTGGGCTTGGGGAGTTATTAGTTGTGTTAAGGATCAGTTCAACTTATCATTTTTACAGGTGCTCAAAAAACCTACAAAATTGCTAAGATACCCCTGCTGAAATATCCTTCAAAAATAATAATCAAATTTTAAACAAAACCCTGGAAATAATATCATATCTTGTAGTTTCTAGACAAAAGAAATACCATTTTGTAAAAACCAAACCCAGAGCATTTTTCTTCTGCAGAGATGTAAAAAATGTCTAATATTTGCAGGAAAATAATCTTTACCATCCTGTGGGCCTGCCTAGATTATTTTGATGTATTTGGTGCAGCCAAATCTGGTGGTCCACAGTAAACACAAAGATCTTTTCCTGGAGGATCATCAAATCTCTTATTACAGTGTGCATAGATAAACAGAATTTAAGTGTTGAGCTAATCATTAACTCCCTGAAGAAAGAAAAAAGCAGGTTGCCCCTTTTTTCCACATCTGTATACGCTATTTCATGTTTTGCAGTATCCAGTTCTCTTACCTTCCTTCTCTCCTCTACATTGTCTGGCATTTTATACTCCACATACCTTTTATTCTCAGTGGCATAGAGAAAGTGCCGGTCTTGACTCCAACCTCTCCCGGACATGAGCTCCATACAGGGTGCTAAATTCAAGCTTCTTTAACGGTCTCAGTTATCAGGTCCTTGGGGACCTGAGTCAGTAATACCTGAACTGGAAACATCTACTACATAAACAACAAAATGGAGATCTGAAATATGTCAAAAGGGAGCTAATGAAGGAGCCTCCTTCACTCCAAAGATGATGAGACAAATGGGAAAACCATACAGGATAGCTAATTCGCAAACCAGCAAAGCATTTCATCTTCCATGAGCCAGATTGTATCGGCTGCTCTTATGTTTGTTCAGATGATCGTGCCAGTAACACCTTGCTGAACTGAGTAACAACCAGGTTAAGAACTACAAACCCAGACCCTACAAGGCAGAGGGTATATTCAGAGAGATGTGAATGCAGCGGAGGTGAAAGGAGCTCTCTAAAGTTATCTGAGGGAATGTGAGGTGAATTTTCTGTCTGGTAGGGGCAGCTGGCATAGTGCCTGACACCATCCCAACAGGTCTACTGCAGGGAATGGGAAGGTTTTTGATGTGTGTTAACGGGGAGGGGAGTGGAGGGAGTCTGAAAAAAAAACAACAGAATCTTTATAAACGAACAGCCCACGGATTAGCAATCTTCACATGAGGGCATCAGCTAATTCCTCTCTGTAATGTTTATGACATGCCCTTTCCGTAATACCACACAACACACCCTATCTGGTATCGTGTTGCCTTTTGGCGTAGTCTCGCATTATCTCGTTCATGACAAGCTGCAGGGCAGAGCTGAGGAAAGGCCATACGGCCTTTTCCATACTGATCCCTTCCCGCAGCTCTTTCCATGCCATGTAGGGGTAGTTTCCCAGTTCATCTATGCTGGTCATGATGTTTTCTCTTCCACTGCCAATGGGATGCCTGGGTTCGAGCAGGCGAAGGGGAGGGCATGGTACGAGGCTAATACCTGCAGCGGGGACAATGGCTTTGGGCCATTGCCTGAAGCTCTCAGCACAGCGAGAGATACAAAACAGCTCAAGCGTGTCCTGGGTAACTTTGATGGAAAACCAGCTGCAGTATATAAATTATCTAATGGGCAGAGCTTAGTTGCTCCGATAAATGTGAGACAAAGGCGCTAGCTGCAGGTCTGAGCCAGGGTCGGACTGAGACAGTACATACCGCATAGAGAGGAGGATCTGCTGATACCACAGACCCTTACTGTGTGCAAGCGTGCAGAGAGCAGCTGGGGTTTCTGAGATGAGAAACCCAGGAGAAACAGGCAGTTGAATCCCCCCAAGTCCCCAAATCACATTAAACTTAGCATCCAACTACCTGAGACTCCTTTTACAATGCTAGCCCTAAGTACTCTTGAGCTAATGATCATTAAGAAATGTTATTAATTTCTGGACTAATTTCTACTTCATATGCTTTGCTACTGCATTAAAGGCTATATAGTTACCTAGGGATGATAATGGCATAATTTTAGCAGCATCTCTGAACCTTTTTAAAATTTTTTGTATTTTCTTGTTTGCAAAAATCCACAGCAGCAGCAGTTTTGCATCAGATAGTACAATTCTTAAGGGCTGCTTGAATATTCAGTTGGTTTTGTTCCAGTTCTCATGGGCAAAACTTAAATAGCGTACACAGGGGCACCTGAAACTTCCCTTGTCTGGGTAGATTTTGCAGTGATTCGGTGTCTAA